TATTTTTATTTTTTATTTAAATTTTTTGCTTGGTAGGAATTTTAAGTTTATATAAAATTAGATTCTAATGGATTTTATAATCATTTTAATTTTTTAATGTTGATTCAATTCCAGATTTATCTTTTCTGGCCATAGGATCATGTACTTTGTTTTTAATAGAATTTATTATTGTCAAAGTTTGTTGACGGCGTAATAAAATTAAAATTTTTATTTTCGATTTTTATTAGAATTTTTTTTTGAAGTGTTGGAAAAAAATTTTGGATGACCAAAAAAACTTGAAAATTTAATACAAGGTTCTTTATGAGTTGTTCTTATTSTAGCTAAAAAAAAAAATTAAAAATCATAAGTCACAATAGATACTTGAAAATTTTACCAGTTATTATAAGATTAGCATTTTCTTTACATGATTTAATTTTCAAAATATTTTGACTTTTTTTGAGATATTTATAGACAACTGAAATTTTCAATTTTTATGAAAATTTTTAGTTGAAGTGACGATTAAATTTTTTTAGCCATATCAAAAAAATTGAAAATTGAATACAAAGTTCCTCATAAGTTTTTCTTATAGTAATTAAAAAATTATAAGAATACATCGGCACAATTTTTTTTTACTAGCATTTGAAGTTCAAATATTGACGAAAATTCTTGAAAACCATGAATGTTTTTATTTGTGTCTGTCATCACGTTTTGGGGCAGTAAAAGTGCTTCGATTTTTGACTTCAGTACCTTATCCGATCAGAAAGTGAAACTAGTTGGTACTTTGGGGKTTTTTTAATGTTTTTCTAAATAATCGGGACAAACAAACTCAAAATTAAGGGAAAAACGGGAAATTTTACGCATAATCAGTTTTCGACAAAATCGATTTTGGTTTTTGATNGATTTATCCTCAAACCAGGTATATGTATTATATAATATCTATATGATAATATGAGGTATTATGAATTATGATAACTATATGCAATGTTTTTGGAAAAATTGATTAACCATACCTTATGCAAAAGGCGTTCTAATTGAAAAATAAAATATTTGTTTCAAAATAGAATATATGACAATATTTAAATATAATATATTATCCTAGACTGACAAATCATCTCCGTTCAGAAGAACCTATAACCTAACCTCAGAATCGTTTTTCGTATACAATGATACCTATCATTGCATTCAAATCTAACCTACCCTAGTCAGAGRTYCRCCYCACCACCTAATGTACAGCAGAGCGATACCCACTTTCCC